TAAATGAATTTTTAAAGAAAATTCATGCACTCAAAAAATGTCCTTTCGTGCGATGAAAAAAAAATCATCAGTGATAATCCCTAACCACTTATGGAATAAAATACAGGGTGTCCTATTCGAAATTTAGAAGTTGAGGTCGTTTTCGGTCAAACCGGAAGTGATGGGTGAAAAAATTGACCCCTGGAAACCAGTCTAAAGAATTCGATGATACCCGGGTTGTTTGAAAATGTATAACAAATTGTGTAGTGATATCGCTGAACAGGATAATCTGATCTGAAAGTCTGTTGAAGTCGAGTTTATGTTGGTTGAATATATTAGAATGCAATATATTGAAAAAAATACCATTTGTCAAAACATCCTGTATGAATCCTCCTGAATCAATAACCATTATGATCCATCTTATCGCCCTCAATGAAACATAAAAACAAAATTTCTGGTGTTGAGTTGGGACTCTTGATGAAATGATTGAAATAACAAAACATGGAACAAAATGTGTTAACAAAAGATCGGATATTGAGAATTTACACACCTCATATTTCAATCTAATAGAAAAAATCAAACAATAATTCCGAATCATCAGCAGGCGACTTTTTCCAATCCCGATTATTATCTCTTTCATGAGCCTTTTTTTTCAATATAAAGAAACGATTCAACGACAGTTCAGTTTGTTCATTCCTTCATGTTCGTGTCTGTGTTAAGGTCTTTCATGATCCTGTGTGTACGTATTTATACTTTATGTCGATTTTATTTATTTCACTATTTTTGAACCCGGAAAGTCATCCTAAATGTAAGTACCCATCAATGTTGTGTTCTGTAAAGTGTGAGAAGTATTTTATTTTCAACGATTGTTACTTTACATAACTTATTTTGCTTTTATCAAAACCCCTAATTTTGAAATATCATTTTAATATGTATGTTCTTGTTTTTACCTCAGTGTCCTGAAGATGAAACAATAAAGTTTCGAAACGTCGACAGCTTAAAAATTGGTTTTCTTCAACATTTCGACCGAATTCTCGCCAACTCAACACCAGAAATCATATTCAACGGTCGCCATTCTATTCAACTATAAAAACAAAATCCCTGCCAAACGAGGCGATCTCAAAAACTTTTTGAAAATTATCATATTTTTAGATATCACCCTGTAGGTCTTCATGTCGGGAAGGTGGAATAACAAAAAAGTTCTTATGTTGTACTCAATAAAATGAGCTATTAGAATCTTGAAGGAAATTGAAAATTGTTTGATCCAATCCGAAGTTATGACGGTTCGAAAATGATAAAAATTTTTGCTTCTTTCATTTCAAATATGGGGCAGTTTAGTTCAATCAACGAAGGTAAAAAAAAAGGTCAAAAAGGCGAAAAAATCGTGTAGTCGCAAATTTCTGTACTGTGGTAGAAAGAAGGGCCATACTCAAAGTCCTGATCAGTATAGACTGAGAGCGAGTGATCGACAGACTTACCGTACGTTAGCGAACTCCATATTGATGGTATACTATTCCACCTGCCGTAGGTGAAATGGTAATTCATTATCCCCGTCGACGGTTCCTTTGGGCGTATACAGAGGTCGAAAAACGTCAAAAAAAATTTCAAAACTGTGATCGCAGCATGTCTGCCCTTTAAATATCATGTAGTTGATAGCTTTTTCTATCAAAAAGTTCAATGGCAGACACTTAATCCGATTCCAAGTATGTTTCATAGAATAACGAAACATAGAAAATATAATATAAATATTTATGTCATTTCAGCAAAGCTTGAATTTTTATATGATATTCATATTGATATTATACATGTACCTTTGTAAAAGCAGACACATACGTCGGTGCCATCATGCAAGCAGACGATATAATGCTTTCTCTGTCGTACTGATGAAGGTGTATGATTTCGAGTAAACATCGTCAAGTAATATTTATGAAATTTTCGAAGTTTTGAAATTCTATGAAACATACTTGCAACCGGAATAAGTGTCTGCCATTGAACTTTTTGATAGAAAAAATTATCAACCGCAAGATATTAAAATGGCAGAAAAAATTTCTGACGTTTTTCGACCTCTGTATATGATACCCTCAAACGAATCGTCGACGGGGATAGTGAATCCCCATTTCACCTACGGCAGGTGAAATAATTTTCTAGCATCAATATGAAGTTTGCTAACATACTGTAAGTCTGCCGATCTCTGGCTCTTAGACTAGTAGGGTATGAGCAGGAGAGTAGGAGAGTGTTTGAAGGTCATTTGTACAAGTTTTTCTTCAATTATTAGAGAATCGCGGCCTCTAGCGATAAAGTGTAGGTATACAAAATTGAACAACATAAAATTTCCTATAAAAAAGGTCCCATTCATTTTTCGTTTCCAATGAATATCTTCTGAAATACAGAGGGTGCAATAATCGGGGAGGGGGGGGAGGGAGGATGGATCATTCATTGCAGTGACACCAAAGAACAAATAGCACCTGACGCAATACTGAACAGCATTTTTTGGTCTATGGTGTACTGGGTCTGGGGAACGATGTAGGCGTATGTCATGCTTCATGGCGTGGGGCATGCACCGTTATTCCATATAAAAAATGATGATGAAGACGATTAGTTGTCGATTATTGAAATGTACACATTCAAAATGTCTGTACTCCTTTTATTCGACAAATCCGGCCTGATGACTACTCTCGCTCTTTTGATGTCTTAAATCACAATATCCTATTTAAAAAGCTTTATAAACTACTCAACACTAATTTCGTCGCACACCAAAATGTCGCCCCTGTTATAATGTGAATAACTTTTTTCACGCAGAAAACTTTTTTCAGTTCACAACAATTTGAATTTGGTTCACACTGTTCGATAGCCCAGTCCTTCAGCTATAATCTCGTACTTCATTGAGACATAAGGGTATTCACATAAAATCTCTACATGGTGTTTTCCGACACTGTGCAAAATTTCGGAATATTCAAAAGGCTCTCAAATGGTGAAAAATTTGTTTTTCTCAACTTCGACAACAGAGGTATGAAGATGATCTCATTACCTCGATATGTTTCGCGAATCAACTTCCTATCTCTCTTATTTACAGAGTGATCTCAAAAAATCAACTTTTTGGTTTTGCAGTCATAACTTTTTTCCACGTCAACCGATTTTAGAATTCTTAGGCTCATTTTGAAGATAAAACTTCAGATGCAGAGATCTGAATATCAGAATTGACTCAAGATGGCTATCAGAGATCTAGAGTTTTCTTGAAAGTGACCAAAATCTGGAACGTCCTCCGAATCTCGATTGGGAGGAGAATTGAATGAAAATCAACTTGTTCTCGGAAAAACAATTCATTCTGGATGCGTCCATATTTTCCTTGCTCTCAGTAGTCAAGAAAGTGCGTGAGAAAACACAATTGAAACATGTTTCTTGCAGAAACATCAGATCATTTCTCCTCTGTAATGCATGGCCCGTAACCAACGTTACAAGAATCACAGTAAGTGACTGACAAGTCAGGTTAGACGTCGTTTTCGAATCATAAACAGATTTCGATAGTTTCGATGCCGCATCTAACGCGAATGTGTGTGATAACTTTGTTCTCGTTGATGACAATGCGAGACCGCATAGGGTTGTTGGTATATCATTTATGATGAGCCTTAGCTGGTCGGGTTTGTCAGTCCATTGTGATTCTTGTAACGTTGGTTACGGGCCATGCATTACAGAGGAGAAATGGTCTGATGTTTTTGCAAGAACATGTTTCAATTGTGTTTTCTCACGCACAATTATTGACTACTGAGAGCGAGGAAAATATGGACGCATCCAGAATGAATTGTTTTTCCGAGAACAAGTTGATTTTCATTCAATTCTCCTCCCAACCGAGGGCGTTCCAGATTTGGGTCACTTTCAAGATAACTCGTAGATCTCTGATAGCCATCTTGAGTCAATTCTGATATTCAGATCTCTTCATCTGAAGTTTTATCTTCAAAATGAGCCTAAGATTTCTAAAATCGGTTGACGTGGAAGAAAGTTATGACTGCAAAACCAAAAAGTTGATTTTTTGAGGTCACTGTGTAAATAAGAGAGATAGGAAGTTGATTCGCGAAACATCCCGAGGTAATGAGATCATCTTCATGCCTCTGTTGTCGAAGTTGAGAAAAACATTGTTTTCACCATTCGAGAGCCTTTTGAATATTCCAAAATTTTGCACAGTGTCGGAAAACACCATGTAGAGATTTCATGTGAATACCCTTATGTTTCAATGAAATACGAGATTATAGCTGAAGGACTGGGCTATCGAATAGTGTGAACCGCATTCAAATTGTTCTAAACTGAAAAAAGTTATTCACATTATAACAGGGGCGACATTTTGGTGTGCGACGAAATTAGTGTTGAGTAGTTTAGTTATGGCATTCGGGGTCCTGCGCATAGCTGGCTCAAGTCGCATCTAACTGAAAGAAAACAATTCGTCAAATCACTAACCAATATTCGGACACTGTAATGACAACCAGTGGAGTCCCCCAAGGCAGTATACTAGTCATTAACAACATTATATACTAGGTGCTAGTGATTCTTCAATAATAACATTATTCGCTGATGACACTAGTGCAGCAATCGCCGTTAAAAGCATACCTAATGTAGTTTATTCAGCAAATCAAAACGTAGAAAGCATATGCTCTTTCAGCAGGCAGAGTGGCCTTGTTTTAAATAAGGAAAAGACTGATTTCATCAATTTCACACCAATAGGTGTCAAACCAGACTACAGCCTAGTGCTGAAATGCGACGGTGAACGCATCATTCCAAAGCTGAGGAATTGGAGTTTCTGGGTCTACGGCTTGATCATGATGTAATATTTTATACATGTTTATCAAACTGTTCCATGTATGGGAATTCTTGAGGAGGCTCAGCCTCCGTTGCCTCCTCTGAGCCACCACCACTGCTTTTGGTATGTTGCCAATGGCAATTTCCCCTACCACCCTACGAAAATTTGCGACTACACGCCCTTATTCATCGTTCTTTCACTGAACCATACCAATAAACTAACGAACACGCACACAAATCATCGTCCACCCTTCACGCCTCGGGCGGCGGCGGGGGCGGCTGACTCGGCTTGGGCAAATTCCTATTGGCGAAATGGGCGGTCCCATGGCCGCCCCTCTCCAGGTCGATCATGCCGCCGTCGGACCGCGCACGCGCGTGACTCGCCTTCGGACCGCCCGCGGTGGCGTTCGCGTTGCTATCACATTTCGGCTGGCCGTTGCTGCCGGGGCGGTTGATGTTCTCGATCGACTTGGCGGCCATCTTGTTGGTGGGCGGGTCGCGGGCGGCGGGAGGATGATCGTCGTCTTCGCAGGACGTCCTGTGGATTGAGGTACGGGGTGTCAGAGTGGTGTATTATTTTTGATAGTGTGAGAGATGGCGACCAAGATTTTTGTCACATAGCGTCCCGGCTAAAACCGCATTTTCAAATTTATCAACAAATCTGACCTAGTGTTTTATAACGGCCCATCTGATTTCCGGAATGTAATTGGATAAAACCCTGAGATAACAATAACACAGTTTTCAAACAGTGAGATTGTAGCGCGTACCTAGGAGACCAATAAAAAAATAAAAAATGAGACAAAAAATATAATAACAGCATTGAAAACGAATGTTCTCAGATATATTTATGAATACAAAAAAATGGATATACATACAGGGTGGCATTGAAATAAGTGCAAATATTTCACACCCTGATTAAGCTCGACGTATACTATCGAATGGCACTAATAGATAAAATATAGGGATCAAATAGAAATTTCCCGTTAGACCCCTTTTCCCACCCAAAGTTCTACACTGTAGCAATTCCGATGTCACCTCTGTTCTGTGCGAAAGGCACAATCACGCGGAGTTCAATCATTTAAATTATTTCAAAGTAGCGTACTTGATTTTTTCTCGTTTTTTGTTCAATTTTTGGGATGACATTTCTCGTTAATTAGAAGAATTAGAAAAAATCTGATATCATGGGAATACTTGTGAGGCTGTATCATATCAATGTGCTGAATATATGTACTTATTTCAAAAACACCTCGTATAAAGAAATACATTGAGAATTCGCATTCTCCATGTCATGAAAATATTAATTCTTTCTCGGTTTATTCAACAGAAAACAACTAGTTTCTTGGCTACATGCCACGACGAATATTGAATTACATCCATTGAACACACACGATAAGAATTTGAAAACAAAGTCTTCTGGAGTAGAGAATTTGCATTCTCCTTCATATAAAGATATGTATATAATATCATTCTGAATATTCAACAGGAAACAACTACTTTCCTGGGTATTTGCCACGTCAAAGATTAAATTAAATCTGTTGAATATCCAAAAGAGCATGAAAAATCAAAATCCTCTTAAATTGAGAATTGACATAATCTCTCAAATCGAATAGAATAATATGATGTATTATGATTAGGTTTTCTCAATTCAGAATTTCTTTCCACGTCCTGTATGATGAATATCAATTTATCATACATCCAAAAATAATAACAGCAGCTCGTCTGAAAATCTATTTGATAGGTAGACTCGGATCAATTGATGCGGAAAAGTCAATTTTTCGTCGACCTCTACAAAAAAAATGACAGTTTATGTTCTAATTTCCGAACGAAAGACCGACTATTTCCGAGGGCAAGTACTTTTCGTTCGCAGACACTAACTTTCTGATTCTACTAGAGTCACTGGATGGTATTAGTTAGATAAGAGTTCGGACACAGCTGAACTTCTGTCCTTTTCTATTTTCTATATTAAAATGGTTTGAGTGAATAAAAGAATAAGACATATATTCTGCTTTTTGTCTTCTCAATGTCCCTAATAGCGTGCACGCATACCGACCCTGGTGGTAAAATATTGCGACACAACCTCACTCTTCTGTGAATTATTGAAACACAACCTCACTTTTTTATTTGATTACAGAGGGAACAAAGGATTATAATAGTTTCTCACAATATTATGGCAAAGGAATCAATCGTGTTTTTGCACTATTTATTAATTCAAGCATGCCTTCGCATTGTGCTGTTGTACAATGCACAAAAAATGCAGCAAGAGATGAAGGAATATGATTTTTCAGGTAAATAGTAATATCACATAGTGATATTATGAAATATCATTCCTTATTAAAATTCCTCTTGTCACTTCTGCAATGCAAGCTGATACTGCTAATAGATTGAAAATGTCTAAAACACACACGATCATATTTCATCAGCATGTCAGACCAGTCCTCCCGATTGGTTGCATGAATCCAATCTTCTTGCATTATTTTAGAAATTTCATGTGTATTTCTATAAGCTCCTATTGCAGAAGGAATTCCGATGAGAAATCAGAGAACTTACCAAATTTCAAATATGAAAACTTACTATATGTGAGTTACTAGGTACTTACTTTTAAAACATATTGTACCAACAGGATTCCTTAGTCTTCTGCTGCAGTTTTTGTGCATTGTACAACAGCACAATGTGATGGCATGAGCGAATTAATAAATAGCCAAAAAATACGATTCGTATGCCAAAATAATTGTGAAAAACTATTTCAATCACTTGTAAACAAATAAGAAAAGTGAGGTTGTGTTTCAATGTTGTGCCTCCAGGGTCGGTCATCTGACAGTTCTTGCACGCAACCCATAGGTCGCGTGCACGATGACCGACCCTGGAGGCAAAATATTGAAACACAACCTCATTCTTCTGTGAATTATTGAAACACAACCTCACTTTTTTACTTGGTTACAGATGAATCAAAGGATTGAAATAGTTTTTCACAATATTTTGGCATACGAATCGTGTTTTTTGCGCTATTCATTAATTCAAGCATGCCCTCGCATTGTGCTGTTGTACAATGCACAAAAAATGCAGCAAGAGACTAGAGAATATGATTTTTCAGGTAAATAGTAATCCCACATAGTTATCATTATGAAATGTTGTCATTCCTTATTAAAATTCCTTCTGCCTTCTGTCACTTCTGCAATACAAGCTAATACTGCTAATAGATTGAAAATGTCTACAACACACACGATCGTCAGCATATCAGACCAGTCCTCCCGATTTATTGCATGAATCCAATTTTCTGGCATTATTTTAGAAATTTCAGGTATATTTCTATTAGCTGATCCTATTGCAGAAGGAATTCCGATGAGAAATCAGAGAAATTACCACATTTCAAAAATGACAACTATATGTGAGTGACTATAGTAGGTACTTACTTTTAAATCATATTGTACCAACCGGATTACTTCGTCTTCCGCTGCAGTTTTTGTGCACTTCACAACAGCACAATGTGATGGCATGAGCGAATGAATAGCGGAAAAATACGATTCGTATGCCAAAATAATTGTGAAAAACTATTTCAATCACTTGTAAACAAATAAGTAAAGTGACATTGTGTTTCAATATTTTGCCTCCAGTGTCGGTCATCTGACAGTTCTTGCACGCAACCCATAGCGCCTGATTGTCAGATAAGATTTTAGAGGTTAGATTTTCTGTCATATCAATCATAGCCGTAGATGGAAAATAGGAATAGGGTATCAACACCCACTTCAATTTATAGCATTTTAATATGAGAAAATTGGCACGTATGGATATATTTATAGATGAAACTGTGAATTTCCTTTGGGTATGCAGTCAAAGAAGAACAAAGTGTATTCTTGTTTCTGTTCAAGCTTTCGAGTCTCTATTGGCTCTTCATCAGGAACTCTATAAGACAATAAAATTGATATGAAAATTTAATCGTTTTTATCGATTACTAAACACTTTCGGAAGATGAAGTTTGTTGAAGCTGGCTTCCGTTGAGTGGGGAATAATGTGTGAAGGAACATTCACAACATGAAAACATCAATATTTTTGAAGATTAATAAAAAATTCTTACATTATACTCGAATTTTGTAGAGAAAACTTCCGAATCATTTCTGCTACGATCTATTCTCTACAAGATTCAAGTATAATGTAACAATTATTTATTAATCTTCAAAAATATTGATGTTTTCATGTTGTGAATGTTTTTTTACACATGCATTATTCCACTTCCACGGAAGCCAACTTCAACGAAACTTTATTTTCCGTAAGTGTTTAGTAATCGATAATGTCGATTGAATTTTTATATCAATTTAAATGTTTTATAGAGTTCCTGATGAAGAGCCATTAAGGACACGAAAGCTTGAACAGAAACAATAGTACAGTGTGTCCAGTTTTCCATTTAAACTGTCTTCAATGAAGAGTGGTCCAATTATCTCATTTCCTAGAATACTAGCCCACACATTGATTTTCTCAGGAAACTGAGTATGGTCCTGTCGAGATATGTGTGGATTTTCATTGTCTCAGAATCTTCAACTATGTTTATTAACAAAGCCGTTCAAATAAAACGTTGATTCATCACTGAAATAGATGTGCTTAAGAAAACTGGCATCTTGTTGAATCTTCCCAGACATCATCTCACAAAATTCGATTCTGCGGTCATGATCCTCTTCTGTAAGTAAGACACGATCGTCTTCTGTAAGTAAGACACGATTCGTCAAAATAAATCATTCTAGTTGGTTTTGAAAGGAACTAGTAGGGTATACCATTCTCAGCTGGATGAAGCACCAACACATTTTGTTCTGATTGACAGAAAAGATGTCATTGTTCACTGAAACCATATACAGAGTGAACTCTTTGATAGCTGGCAACATTTCACAAGTACGGTCCTGGATTTTTTTCAATTCTGTATACGTTAGTCTATTGGTGTTGGAGTGCCTAAAGTTCCATGGAAAAATGAAATGAATCAAAGAAGCTGTTGGAAAGTTGTGACAAAAATGTTTTTTTTTCGCTCAATTCTATAAATCATCCTGTTTATTATTGTAGAAGAGGAGGAAAACTCCAGATGGCCATTTGATAGTCCCCTCAGGGTCCTCTGTTCGTAGTGGGAGTATGTACAGACTCACATGACTCACCCTGTATACGAAATAAATATTTTTTCACCTGGTTGATTTGATCATTGATAGCCCCTCAATTTTATGTATCTCAAAGTAGGGGGTGCCATTTGAGATTTCAAAGTAGGGGTGTCTGGGGGTGAAGGGGATGAACATAGTATTCAATTGATACTGGCATTTCACTTCCCCCTTGATATCTAAATCGACCTGTTTTTGCCAAAAACTGTAATCTTCGCAGGTCAAGAGATATGCAGGGTGATAAGTTTTGAAATGAAAGCCATGCAGAATCCTGATACATATTGAATTCTCCACAAGCAATGTTCAGAACGTCAGCAATGATTTTGACACGAGATAACGGTTTTTCGTCGATGCTGAAAAAATACGCTATTTGACTTGGTGCAGTGTTGTGCGATATCACTCACCGATTCTGGATACGGTGGCGCGAGTCATTCGCGCAGTCGCCGTCCGTCGCCTCGCCGCCATTTTTGAGGAAGCGCTCCTTGTCGTCGATGTTGGGGTCGTGGCCAGGTCGAAGGAGGTCCGGCTTGCCGTGGATGTTGATGTAGCTCGGCTGTTGCTTGTCGGCCACGTTGTATACCGAGCACTGCGTCCTCCTAACAGGACAATTCAGATTATTTATTAATTCATCTATTGAAAATGTGACTTCCAGTCAGAATCAAGTTCTGGTATAAGGAAGGATAGTTTACAATAATACTTAAAACGGTACAATTGTAATAAACTCATAAATTAATGATATTTGAATACATCAAGTATTAAATTTTGACAAATCATTTCATATTGGTGAGCAACAATCGATTTGAATATGAAATAAAAATTGAAAAAAAAATCATCTATTTCGTTTAGAAATGATAAATTATTCAGTTTTTATTCGAATTTTATTGTATTTCTGCATTTTTTTATATTATCTGGAAATATTTTATATTTGAAAAGAGCAGCGTGGGTGAATCTTTTTTGGTCTATAGAAGAATTAGCTATATCTCTTCCGTTTTTTTGATATTGCCAGGTAGCGATTTTACTAAATATACTGCACGCTAGCACAAACCACGCCCACCATAATACGTCATATCTCCAAACATTACCGATATACTCGGAGTCAGCACATCGCACTAAATATACTGTGCTCCAACGCAAGAATACACTTTTTATGATTTTGACACGAATTCGACTGAAGCTCTCTCGTTGTCAATCTCTTGTACGCAGTAAATTCATTCACCCAAATGGTTTACTGGTTAGCGCTGTCGACTTTCAGTCTGAAGGTCCATGGTTCGAATCGCTGTGAACTTGAACTTTTTTTTGCAACTTTTTTTTTCACCAATGTTTTTTTACTTCATTCTGGTTTTCCTTTTTCATGAAATATTCGAAGTCAAATAGGTTAGTGCGTTTAGGATAAACAGTCTCACTTTATTAAATTTTGTTGAAGAACTCAACTTTTGAAATATATTATTAATCAATGTGTTTCTACACTCCATTCGGTTTTCCTTCCTCAAAAATATTGCAATCAGGGATAGGTTAGTTCGTTGAGGATAAATAGTCTCTGAGTTTTGCCTAAGCAGTAAAGTACTTTGAAGATGAGATATAACGGTGGGCGTGGTATGTGCTAGCGTACAGTATATTTAGTAAAATCGCTGCCAGGTAGTATATTGAATTCAGTTGGGGCTGAATGAGTGATGAAACAAGTTATATTGTCTAGTTTCATGATTATGAATTTCAGAATTCCGTATCAAAATAATATTCGACTTCCATTTTTTATTTATGATATTATATGAAATTTCAAGAGTTTCAATTCTATATATTTCATATAAAGAATACGTTTTTGTTATCTCATACAATTGATTGGTTGGTGTATCAAACGAGAGACGATACAGTACTTTCAACGATTTTCTATTTAATGTTGATATTTTATCAAAATAATTTTTTGAACAAGATCCCCAAACATTTATTAAATAGTTGATACGACTCAGTATATGAGAGTAGAGAATCATGTTTGCAATTTTAATATCAAGTTTGGGGCATCTTCTCAATGCACCAATAATTGGAGATATTTTCTTTGTCAAAACATCAATATGCTTGTCCCACTTCAACCTGTCATCAAACCAAATACCCAGATATTTGATCTGGTCAGTTTGGTTTGAGAGTTCATTTTTCATTTTAAGGTTGAGGTAAATTGTTTATTTATTTTTTCAGTGAAAAATCATATATTTTATTAGTATTTATCGATAAAAGGTTAGAGTGGAACCATTTTTCAAATATTTTCAAGTCTTCATTTATCATATTTCCTAAATTTGAAGGATTCTTGCTTTCATATAAAAGTACTGTATCATCTGCATACACGGTATATTTACTCGCAAGACCAATTTCACTGATATTTTGAACAAAAGTAAATATAGTATGGGTCCTAAAACAGAGCCTTGTGGAATACCCTGATTAATTGTTGATTTGACACAGAGTTGGTTCATTTCGTATTGATTGTCCTATTTTCAAGACATGAATTCAACATATTTCTCACAGTGCCTCTGAGTCCCATTGTTTTTAAGTTTTCTAGAAGTGTTGTATGATCAACTGTGTCAAAAGCCTTTTTGAGATCAATGAAAATAGCTACCACATAATTTCCTGAATCAAGTCCTTTCTGGATTGATTCTATCACTTGCAATACTGCTGCTTGTGTTCCACTGTTTTCTTGAAATTGATTAGAATCAAAGCCATATTTTTTGTTGATGAATTCTACAATGCAATTTGTGTGGGAAACTTTCTTTTATGAAAGATTCATTGATCAATTTTGATATTGGTGTAGCTAAAATGTTTCTCAATTCAAATATGTCTTTAGTAATCAAACCTTCTGGATCAGGGCATGTCTTTTTTAAATCAAGAATAATAGAGATGATTTCGCTTTCATCAAAAGCATTGTGAAATCATTATATTGTGCACAGACATTTTGACGTGGAAGGTTATTATAATACGATATTATTTCCTTTGCAATATTCTCACCAAGATTGCTAACATAGTTAGCGAAACACGTGTCGAGGCGTTTAAAAAATCGGTTTGGTTAGTGCTAAAACAGTGTAGTGTACCTCTATACATATTATTATTATTATTATTATTATTATTATTATTATTATTATTATTATTATTATTATTATTATTATTATTATTATTATTATTATTATTATGCAAAGAGGGGCTTTACACCATGACTAGAGCGAGATTGGTATCTATCATTCAAATCAAGTTATTCAAATGTACAAATACCTAAATGGAGTCAGAAATCTGAAAGATTGTATCTCTCACCTGAACACACGATCGGCCTCCATTTGGGGCTTCCCGCTCAACGTCGACGGTCTCGCCGGAATCTCCGGCTTGATCCCCAAATCTTTCCTCCTCAATTGCCCCTCCTCCACCATCAGTGACACCGACTCCGAGTCCGTCTCCTTCTTGTTATCGCTTATCACAGATTGCGGATGTGCGGTGTTCGACTGTTGTTGGTGGTGATTGGCGGTATTTGACTGCTGTTGGTGGTGATGGGCTACTGGACTGATGATGAATAAATTGCATTCAATTAGTAAGTAAGTAAGTAATTAATTTATTTGACTATGTTATACACAATTGCATATTAATAGCACGTCACAAAAAATGTTTGTATATAGTTTGAATTCAAGATACAAATAACAATGCACACAGTAATTATAGTAAAGTAAGTTGAAATAAAAACAAATTAAAACAGTCAACACATTAAAAATATTTGGTTTAGTGAGAGTGAGAAATCAAACCACCTTATTCAACATATTTCTGATATTCCTCTATGGAGTAGAAAGAATTGTACAACAGACATGATTTTATAGCTTTCTTGAAGCAGTACATGGTCAATTTCTTCAATGATTCAGGTAGAATATTGTAGAGATGGTAATTCAATGAATTATTTATGGACTTTGTGAGTCTATATCTAGGTATTCTGATTTTATGTGATCCTCTTGTATCATGCTCATGAATATCAGACTGAATAATTAGGTTTGGTAAATTCTTATGGATCTCAAGTAATGTACTCAAAATAAACAAAGATGGGAGGGTCATAATGTTCAGCTTTTTAAACAATGGTCTGCAAGTATCACGATATTTGGCATTTACCAGGATTCTAATAGCCTTCTTTTGTTTCCTGAATACACTTGTGGCTTCCGAGGAGTTACCCCAGAGTACTCGTATTTGGCGAATGCCGAATAGTGAGCTAGACAATTTCTGATTCAAGATTTTAATATGACTTGACCAGTTGAGTTTGTGATCAATGGTTATGCCTAATAGTTTCACATTAAGATTTTCTTGTGCAGATGTATTGGTGGTAAATATCAATTTTTGTGTTTTATCATCATTTGATTTGAGTCGATTTGCAATAAACCAGTTCTCAGCTTTATGCTCTGCCTCTGCAGCCATCAAGATTAAGGAATCATAGTCCTTATGAGAATATATGAGGGTGGTGTCGTCAGCGAACAGAACACCATCATGAGGTGTTAAAATTGGCGTCAAGTCATTTACATAGATAATGAAGAGTAGTGGCCTCAAAACAGAACCTTGGGGGACTCCAAACTCTACTTCTCTGAAATTAGACAAACCATTTTTATAGAGTACTGTTTGGAATCGATTTGTTAGATAGGATTTGATGAGGTTTAGAGTAACTCCCCTGATTCCATAGAAATTCAGTTTTTAGAGTAGGATATTGTGAGAAACACAATCAAAAGCCTTGGACAGGTCACACAGAGTTATACCCATATGGTATCCCTGTTCAAGTCCCTGGATCAGTTTTTCCACAACATATGATATTGCACCAATGGTGGAACGATTTGACCTAAAGCCAAATTGTGAATTATTAAAAAAGAATTTGTCTTCAAAGTACCTTGTTAGTCTGTGTTTTATTATTATTTCAAAGGTCGGTATATGCAAATGCAGTAACTCAATTCACTCATAGTGCTCCTAGGGAGTTTTTTAACCAGGCCTGTGCAAATATGGTATTACATTAGGAGCGTTTTTTAATTATAAATATTTATTTCACAAAGAGAGAGAAACTCAAAGTCATTATTATGTAGTAGCAATTTTCATGGATCTAAAAAAGGCTTTTGATACAGTTGACCACAATATACTTCTGAAAAATCTTGATTCAATGAGAATGAGAGGAATTGGACACGATCTCTTGAAATCATATCTTGAAAATAGAACTATTTGAACCAAAATTAATAACTGTGAGTCTAAGATACTATATTTAAACAAAGGGGTTCCTCAAGGATCAGTGTTGGGTCCAATTCTTTATCTATTATACATTCAAAATATTGAAAGAATGAATTTGATAGGAAAGTATAACATATATGCAGACGATACAGTGCTTCTATATGAGAATAAAAACCCAGTAGTTCTAGAACATATCATAAATGAGAACTTGAAAAAACTTGAGAAATGGCTTTACTCCAATCTTTTTTCTCTTAATTCTAATAAGACTCAATATATAATTTTTCGCCAAAGAAATAAACAAAATATTGATCTTAATATTAGAAAAAAAAAATGAACGTTTAAAACAAACTGCCCATACCAAATACCTTCGTATCTGGATTGATTAGAAATTAACATGGAAAAAGCATATTGACATCCTCATAGGAAAAGTATCTCCCATTATTGGTGCTTTAAGAAGATGTCCTAAACTTAGTACATATACATTAAATATTATTCTCTATTCACATATACTCAGTCCAATTAACTATCTCATAAATATTTGGGCATTGAAAATATTGTATCGTCTTCCATATTCATTGTTTTGCGTGGCATATAGCCAGGAAAGTAGTTGTTTTCCTCTCGTTATCTGCTATTGTTCGTTCATTTTATGAACTAGTGTGGTAATGACCTCGAGTTTCTCTTTCTTTGTGACCATTGCATTCCACTTCCACTTTCCTAGTTGAAATAGTTTGTATTATACAAGGGACAAAAATAGTAGATTTTAGCTTCAGGTGAGCATCACCGTGAGCTGAAATCTAATATTTTTCCCGTGTATAATACACTACTTTTTTCTGTGACAGGAAAAAAGGCGAATCAATGATGAGAAGATATTACATTATGTTAAAATCAAAAAATTATCAACGAGAAATTTGAAGTTCTCAACAGGAATTACATCTGTTATTGGCTTATTTTTCGGAACAAGAGCAAAACGTGAGCAAACAACAATGTATATAGTTTCCAGAAAAAAGTACACACTGTCAACCTGTCAACAGATATGAAAAGTCAAACGTTTTTACAGTCACAGAAAAGAGGATTTTCTAGAGCTTACACCGAAATATCCTCCACTATGGATGAAGTGAAATAGGAAAGAGGAATAAAGTTTTAAAAATCTAGCCAGTTTGTATGTTGTCAATGATTTTGACGTTTTTTCAATGGATTTGAATCAAATCGAAAATAATCGGATAATGTTCTTCCAATGCTTCCAAATTGTCTTGAAAAATAATAGAGTGTAAAATGGAGATGTCTTATTATTAAATACACTTCATTATGTTGGAATGATATTTCGGATTTTGAATAAAATGCCTATGATTGGATGTATTTTATTTCTCAAATGTCTATAGCCCACAATGAATATTAGAAATAATATTTCTAAAGTTCCCAATAGTTCAACATACGGCAACTGTGCTATTATCGGGGTGAATTTCAAGCCTTATGAAAATCAGCGTGGAATTATAGATAATGTTGAGACCTTAAAATCGACCGAATTGAAAGGTAGCCAAATTACCATTCCATGCGAAAAAAAAAAAAATAGACAACTTGCCTACTGCCGGTGTTTGACTGTTGTTGGCGTTGGTTTCCCGTGTTTGATTGTTGTTGTTGGTGATTGGCGGTGTTTGACTGTTGCTGATGATGGTTCACTTTGTGGACGATGCTGGTGGTGAACGTTCTTTCCGTTGGTTTGGGTGGGACGCGTTGTTGATGCGCTTTGAGGTCTTCCGTCATTGTTGCTCTGTCGAGCTTGTGGCTGGGCTGTTTCTGGGTGTGGTGTGCGTTCTCGTTTGTGCTGGAATTTTTTAATTCATCACACTATGAAATGGCACCAATGGGCGTGTACACCTTAGTAGAACTTTCAACTCAAACCATGTTTATAATGATCCTTTTACACTACACTGTTTTACCACTAACCAAACCGATTTTTTAACGCCTCGACACGTGTTTCGCTAACTATGTTAGCATCTTCAGGAGAAGATTAAAACTGCTTTTGGGTGTATGATAAATTGACATTCATCATACAGGGCGTGGAAATGAATTCTGAATTGAGACTCTATCACGAATCTGCGATTAGAGGTCTATAAAAATCACAAGTTTCCATCGTTCAAGTTTGAACCCCCTGATTGGGTATGAAAGTGTTGAAAAGGAATATTCTCAGATAAATTATGAACATACAAAAATGGATATATATTTATATAAAGCAATACATTGAGAATTCGCATTCTCTATGTGACGAGAATATTTACTCTTTTTCATTCAATAGAAAACAACTACTTTCCTGGCTATATGCCACGACGAACATTGAATTATATCTATTGAACACACACGATAAGAGTTTGAAAATAAAATATAAAAATTTCTGAATTTGAGAATTTGCATTCTCCTTCAGACAAAAATATGTATATACACACATCATTCTGAATATTCAACAGAAAACAACTACTTTCCTGGCTATTTGCCACGTCGAACATTGAATTATATCTGATGAACATTCAAAAGGGGAACATGAAAAATAAAGAATAAAATCCTCCGAAATTGAGAATTGACATTCTTCTTCAAATCGGATGAATAATATGATGAATAATGATCTAGAAATATGACTTACCAATATATTCAGCATTGAAATGAAAATTGGAATGTATAGGAGAAGTATACTGGCATGAACTCTGATCTTGATGAGCTTGAAAACGTCCAAAAATAATCATTCATATCAGTGTGAGAGATAATATTTCCCATATCACTGATATGAATGATTATTTTTGGACGTTTTCAAGCTCATCAAGATCAGAGTTCATGCCAGTATACTCCTCCTATACATTCCAATTTTCATTTCAATGCTGAATATATTGGTAAGTCATATTTCTAGATCATTATTCATCATATTATTCATCCGATTTGAAGAAGAATGTCAATTCTCAATTTCGGAGGATTTTAGCCAGGAAAGTAGTTGTTTTCTGTTGAATATTCAGAATGATGTGTGTATATACATATTTTTGTCTGAAGGAGAATGCAAATTTTCAATTTCAGAAATTTTTATATTTTATTTTCAAACTCTTATCGTGTGTGTTCAATAGATATAATTCAATGTTCGTCGTGGCATATAGCCAGGAAAGTAGTTGTTTTCTATTGAATTAACTGAAAAAGAGTAAATATTCTCGTCACATAGAGAATGCGAATTCTCAATGTATTGCTTTATATAAATATATATCCATTTTTGTATGTTCATAATTTATCTGAGAATATTCCTTTTCAAGATTAAAACTGTTTTAATCTTCTCCTGAAGATGCTAACATAGTTAGCGGAACACGTGTCGAGGCGTTAAAAACTCGGTTTGGTTAGTGGTAAAACAGTGTAGTGTATTATCGTGCCAAAGGTTCCAGTCTTCGATATATAATGATCCTTTTATACATAAATAACGATTGGCGACATAATTCCATCTAAAAATTAACTGGAATGATTTATTTTTGGACATAAATAATAGTACCTTCTGAAAACGGACCCTGTTTATGACGTAGAAACCTCATCTCGCCTGGAACCAATGAGCGTGACCCATAGAGTGACCCATGTGTGACACTTATCACTGTTGCCATATCATCTAAACAAAATATCCGAGAGATCGAAATCGATATTGAAATATCTTTTGATATCAACTACCACTACTGCAGAAAAATATATTCAACTTGTCGATGGTAGGTTGAATCATTAGAATATAAACAATCTCTAAACAACGAAATGTCTCAATCTCAAAACCATTTGCACCATGACAATTTCACAACAATCCAATATATTTCATGAACGCAGCAACATTGCTTTGTTGACCCCTTTCACATGGAGCTGCATTTGCATCGAGTCTCGAATTCCGATTCCGAAATTATTTATGTCGTCTAAAATGAGAAGAGAAGACACGTAATGGAATTAACCTCCAAATCTTGCTTTATATCATATTAATACATAATAATATTATTGATATATTGAATATATACATGAACGTTGAATTTGTAAAAGGCTCATCAGATAATCTACCAAAAATTGATTTGGAAATGGTTAATTATTTTTATGTCTCTAACATACTAGAAAATCTCCACAGTTCCTCAGTGCTGAAATGAGGAATAGAAAATCTGAAAGGCAAGTTCCACAATATTCATTCAATTTTCATTGTTTGTACCTATTATAGTTGCATTGGAAAATTGTTCACCTGAAAGGATATTTAACATCAGAATACCCATCATATGGAAATTCCGAGGGAGAATCCTCATTAAATCAGTCACTGATCGATAATATGTTTACCTTTGCAACAATATGATCAATTGGTATGAAACAATGTTATTCCCAAGACTAGATACTCCTTGCATCTCCCCCTGAATGTTCTTCTAGGAGATGGATCATTCATTCTTCAAGCAATTTCCCTATGAATTTCTGCAAAGCAAAACTACTACTATAATATTGTGTTTACCCAGTGAGGGGCGAGATTTGTTCTCAAAATTCCCAGCTAAATGATGTTTTTTTAATTGCAATTTGGCACAGAACATTTCTCAATCATACTTTTGTCGAAATATTTCAATTTAATATTCGAAAGTTGCAGAAACTTAATATAGGTTAGAATTGATCTTCTTCTTGTTCTTATCATCTATGTCCCAAAAATCGACTTGCCGATTCACCAATCTTGGTGCTTTTGTCAGAAATCATGTATCATTCATCTCTGTCTGGAATAGTCTTGTTTCAGTATTAGGGTTTTGACGTCACATCATCGCCTCGTTTTCAGAGGTCCGAAAAATCGGGGATTTCAATAATTTTTTATAAAACGTAGGGAGCTCACAGCAAGAAACGGTTTGCGGTGGTGAGCTAGTTTGGGTGAGTTCTATCGAATTATGGAATAAACATTTTTTGTGATATAAGCCCATTCCAAAGAGAAATTCAAAAACAGCCCATGCTCATCCTCACCTGATAACCTTCCTAGGCATCTCGCCCGTCCTCGGCACGGCCGTCCTCACTTTAGCCTCAGGCAGGGGCGACACCTTGACCGCCCCGTTATCGTCATTACCTTCGCAGGGCGGCACCTCCTGCTTCCTGCCCATAGAGATCGACACCTCCTGCATCCTGCCGACAGAGTTCGACACCTCTTGTTGCCTACCGACAGAGTTTGACACCTCTAATGGCCGTCCGATAGATGGCGGCACAGGCGCAGACTTTTTCTTGCGCAGGTTGGGCCGCGGGCTGCCCGCAGTCTGCTCGGCCGTAGCGTGGCTGCCCCTGTAGTAGGAGAGGTCTTCGTCGAGGAAGATCTCCGGAGGGAGGTTGACGTAGGAAGTGGTGTCTTCGGGGAATAGGACGTCGCTCTCCTGAGGAACGACAATGATAAGTGATGGGCGGGTTGGAGTGATTCCTCATTTTATTTTTGTTTCAATCACCATAGAATGCTGGCCCGCGACACAGGGAGTTTCGATGATCCAAGTCGGTATGCCATTCAAGGGACCCACTCAGTTTAATAATGTTCACGATAGTACACATAGTCTATGAATTTGCCTCGGAACCCTAGCCATTTGCCGGAAAATCGGATAACCTCACTCACCTTCTACTTCTCGCTCTGCATTTATTCACTGGCGCCAGTTTTCTATGTTTTTTGAGAGACTGCTCATCCCTAGAGTCACTGGATGGTATTAGTTTGATAAGAGTTCGGACACAGAAATGACAACAGTTAGGGTTTTTGAATGTTTAGAATTATAAAGTTACACACCTTGCATTGTGACAAGGGCACCATAGTCGCCCCCCCCCCCCGCTTTTTCATTCAAAATTTTTTGAATTTGACAATTCATTTCATAAACGTCAGAATTGAAATAAAATTTCATGATTATTATACTTTCGAGATGAAAGCAGCTATGGAAATTACTTGCTGTATAATAAATTGTGCCAATTTTGAAACAAATGGATATCATTTATTCGATTTTCCAAATCAAATATCAAGCATTCGCTTATGGAAGGAAGATATGAAACGGCCTGGGTGGAAAATCAATTTGAAGACGAGCGAAATTTGTGAGGTACTCATTGAAATTCACTTCTTATAACAGCAGCTGATTAGAATGAATCTATATTTTAGGCCCATTTTCAAACAGAAGATTTTAAAATCTGTTTGAGAGAATCTGGCTGTTCCATCAATTTACAAAGCAGACGATTTGAAGAACAAAATTCCATTATTATCATCACACAAAATACAAAACAAAATAATCATGGAAAAAGGGGAAATGATCGCGAAATCACATTATGAAATTGAAAATTTGAAAACAAAACTAAGAAAAGCAAGTAAACTACAACGTGATATATTATATTGAATGGCGTTGTTGGTGCTGACCGCGAATTCAACATTCAACAGTGAAAAGTGAATAGATATTTATGTATCAAAGGAATTATCATAAGGGCCTTAAATACGCTGGATGTTATCGTTTTGGAGATATTTTCTATATCGATTCATGTTACTTAGCTCCTAGGGCGCTAAGTGAAGTTGCTGAGAACTTAACAAAACCAAGTATTTGGTAGGTCTCGTCAAAATAAGTTACTTTTTTCCCATGAAATCTTTATCGAAAAATGATTTGTTCTCTGTATTTCAACACCCTGTATCTCCGAAATGAAGCATTTCCAGACACAAGCTTATATTGACTTTATTTCTTAAAATTGTCTCAGGAATACTTCACTGGAGTACAGTTTCACATACAATAAGGAATTATAGCTATAAGTTTAGCCATATGTATATGTTCTCTGATATTAAAATGTTGTTATACGTGCATTTTTTTCATTTATATAAATCTTGCTCTGCTAGAAGTGTATCACTATGAATTGAAGTGGGTGTTTATACCTTATATCCATTGTCCATCTACGGCTATGATCGATTTGACAGAAAATATAACCTCTAAAATCGTATCTGACAATCAGGCGCTACTAGGGAAATTGAAAAGACAAAGAGCAGAATATATGTCTTATTCTTTTATTCACTTAAACCATTGTATTATAGGAAATATAAAAGGACAAAAGTTCAGCTGTGTCCGAACTCTTATCAAACTAATACCATCCAGTGACTCTACTCACCCCTTGGACCACAAACCGTCACTATTATTGCATATTAGTATTAAAAAATCGTTTAATCGACACCTTTTTTGAGCGTCTTCACGTGCACTTGTGTCAAATCGCCATGCGGCCACAACGCGCTGTTGCCAGATCGATTCGCGAGGAATCCAACTTTCCAGGCACAAAAATAAAAGAAACAAAATAACGTGAATACTTATTACAATCGTAAACAAATAATAATGATAATATTCATTTCAGTCTCTGTTAAAAGCATTACAATGCATCTCACATGAATATTAATAACTTTTATTAAGGTTTACAATGTAATAACATGAATAATCAGACAGATTAATATCTGGTATGAGTATATCGATGGGTTATTAAATTCAAGTTATTGAAATTAACAGATACACAAATAATAATGATAATAATAATAGACTAGGAGAGAGATTTTTGGACATTGAACTCACAAAGAGATAACCGTATACACGTGTTTCGGGCTTTCGGCCCTCATCAGTACGGTGAAAGGAAGTGCAAAGGATGGGCAGCAATTGGCTTCTGTTTGTTGACTCCGTTTATTTGTTGTTTTGTTTTTCACCTAGTGCTGCCCATCCTTTGCATCAATTTACCCATAGAATGGGGTAACTCGAGACAGGCTTTGAATTGATCAATTTTTATAAAGTCTGCATGTACCTTAATTTAGTGATTTTTTGTCGATGTTGAATCTTTCGTAATATTGACCAGTCAGAAACACTTGTAAATTGATGAAAAATTGAATAAATGAAATCCATTCCCTTCAGAATTCCCACAATTCAATACACAGCAGGACAATTTCATTTATGTTACGTTATTCAGAAGTAAGCTAGATTATTGTAGTGGTTTTTGGAATCCGTCTTATGGTAAATATATTTCAGCTATTGAGAATCTTTAGAGGAAATGTTTGAAATTTGCATTTTATAAAAGGCATGGTAATTATCCTGTTAGAGGCTATAACTATGACCTACTCCTTACTGAGTGCAATTCAATATCATTTGAAAATTATTGTGAAATAAGAGACATATGCTTTATTCACAAAATTATACACGATCAACTCTACTATCCTATGACAAATGATGTTCAATGTTGTTCGAGCTACTTCACGTGCTTGTAATACATTTTCTCTACGACTATCGTATTCTACATTGATAACATATTGGTTAGTAATTGATGAATTAAGATGATTTCAAGACACCGTGGATCCTAACTCATTATTCAACGGCACTCGACCAATCACAGATTCAGAATTTTCAGGATCCACAGCAACTGAAAAAGTTAGACTAATGACAAACCAGCAAATCTACCAAACAAATTTCTCAAGAAGGCTTTGCTTCATTTTACGGGTCACGGCTTGACTTTCGCGAATGTCAGATTAACTTTGATATCAGTTGTCACGATCAAAACATAAAATGAATAATTGTGATTGGGGAAGCAGTGATAGTGACAATAATGAGATCTGTACACCACCGGATTTATTGGAAACAGCGAAAACAGCAACTCTGAACTTATTGCCGGAAAAATCAAAAAAACAATATTCGAAGGCATACGCGGAGTTCATGGATTGGCGAAACTTGAACCAGGCCCATTCATTCTCGGAAAATGTTCTTCTCGCATACTTTACGAAACTGTCAGAAAAATACAAGTCATCATCGTTGTGGAAGATATATTCAATGTTGAGAAGCACACTCAATGTAAATAACGATATCAACATAGAGAGGTACTCAAAATTGCGTGCATTGTTAAAACGAAAATCTGAAGGTTATCAGCCGAAAAAGTCAAAAGCATTTGCCCCAGAAGTAAATAGATTTATCAATGCAGCTCCTGATGAAATCTATCTTGCAGCAAAGGTATGTCAAAATTTGTCAAACAATAGTTACCTGAAAGTTCTACAATATCTAAGTTTTTGGTCTGAAAGATTCACTCTGGTATTTCATTATCAATTTACTTGAGAGCCTGTAGCTCAGGTGGTAAAGCCGAGCGCTCGTATTTCTTTGTAGTTTTGAGCGTGAGTTCGAATCCCACTGCAGATGAACTTTTTTTATAGTTATTCGTGAATGAATTTTTAGTTATTCTCCCTCATATGAACTTAGCTTCCATCATTTTGTAAATTTTGGAGTCCGGATCAATATTGGGATCAATAGGTTCTCTTTTATATTTTCAGGTTGCATTAATCATGGGTATAATGGGGGCTTGCCGTTCCATAGAAATGTACTCTATGAATATTGAAGATATTCAAGATCTTGGATCTGCATTGATGATAACTTTTCCTAAGACCAAAACAAAAATTGTAAGGAGGTTCACTGTAACCGGGAAATTTTATCAAATTTGTAAAAAGTACATTGATATACGCGCAGCAAATGTTGGGATTCCCCATTTTTTCATGAATTACCAAAAAGGAAAATGCACTCTTCAGAAAATTGGAATTAATAAGTTTGCAGCAATGGGAAAACAAATAGCTACATTTTTGAAGCTACCAAATCCCGAGATGTTCACCGGGCATTGCTTCCGACGATCATCTGCAACTTTGCTTGTTGATGCAGGTGGAGATATAACAGCATTAAAAAGACATGGTGGCTGGAAGAGCACATCGGTGGCAGAAGGATATCTAGAAGATTCCATGTTAAATAAGAAAAAAACGGCAGATTCGATTCTTCAATCAATCGAACAATGTTCATCATCATCAAATAACAGTACCTTCACACAAAAAACATCAACTAGCAATATGGATAAAAATGTCAGTGTTGATTTAAATGCAACACCGACATTAAATTTCACGAATTGTGAGAATATCACTATAAATTTAGTCACTAAGTACGACAAGTGAGAAACATAATTTACTGACCTTATAATTATTGTGTTGTTTCATCATTGAGTTCGTTAAATATTGAAGATTCCTGTTAATTGTATCATTATATTATTAAAATGAATGCATCAATGAATTTCTGACTATCGTATAGTCGTAGAGAAAGTATAGTCTTCTACTCGCGTATAATAGCTATTATTCTCTCAGAGAATTCCGAAACTCGCCTACGGCTCGTTTCGGAATCATATCCTCGGGAATAATAGCTATCATTATACGCTCGTTGAAGAATATACTATTACTCACCTGTACCTAACACAATACACAATTTCCACTCGCCTATAACATCAATGTCTAGAATTGTGAACAATATCTCTAATTTTGATATTTTCTTTTTATCATTTGCACAGTTCAAATGTGTTATTCTTAACTCAGTTCCTAACTGATATGTTGTATAACTTTTCTGTTCTAATCGCTTAGTTTGTAATTATGTACACCTGTAATTGGGCTCTAGGGCCTGCTGGATGTATAATAAATAAGTAAATGAATAAATACATTTTTTAAATGGATAGCTCATGCGGTAATAACTATTTTTCTGCAACCGACACAAAAGTCGTCCATTTTGATACCAAAATTAGCTCTTAAATTGACGTTTCTATTACTGACACAAAAATAGGTATGTTGCTAGGCAACATATTTAGTTCCTAGGAGCTAAAGTTGAATTTTAGTTCCTAGGAGCTGAAGTTGAACTTTAGCTCCTAGGAACTAAAAAGGATCTACTGGACGTCATCAAGAATAAACAACATTGTGACGGTTGGTTATTTGGGTTGAGAGGCATACCTAATTTGTTTCCGATTTCAGCAGATTTGGCATTTCATACCCATGCTGGAGATATGAATACACCTTATTATAGTTTAGTATTGGAATTATAAACATCTCAGTTGAGTATTTTGATCAGGGAAGCCTTCAAGATTCAAATACTTGCTTGATCTGTATTTCATTTGTTATTCTCGGGATGGATAACTTGTTTTTGGATAATCACGGCAAGCAATAGTTTTTTTGTCTCAAACAACGGTATTGTTAACCTTCATTTGATTATCAAGCGACAAACATTGTATTAGTATTACGGAGAGGAAAAAATAATTGCTCTTCTTATTGTTGAAGTGCTCACTAACCTAACATTTTCCAAGTCATATTTGCCATTAGAGCACCTGGTCCATACACAAATATGTCACTCTGTGATTGTATTTATATTGAAACTACAATTCGAACATCCTTGAAAATTGAATGAACCTGCTGTTGATGCAGATAGAATGTTCTCACCACACGGATTATTTTCCAATATTTGTTGCATTGCATACATATGGCACGGTATTGGTGGTTACTTCACATGTTTATTTGAGTTAATTGTTTCGGTTGCAGAAAAAATAGCATGTTTCATTCGGATCAAGTGATTTTGTTCGACTCGCAAATTTTGCTTTCGCTCGGCTTCGCTAAACGCTCCGCCTCGCAAATGCAAAATTCGCTTGTCAAACAAAGTGTCACTTTTGATCCTAATAAAACAATCTATTATTCTATTTAGCGAATTAGCGAAATAAGCGGAAATATCGGAAACAGCGAAATCTGTATCAAACGAATGCCAGCGGTGTTCGAATTGAACAATGCCTAGTCCAACGGTCAAACCAAATTTGTCGTATATTTTTTGCGATCTGCTTCGGCTTCACTGTTTTTACCTCCATTTACGCGCAAAAACCACACTAGATAATCAAAATTTAATATTTTTACCTTTATGAACAGCTCCACCAACATATTGATGGTGACGCAGTTGCCGATGTCCATGTTGTAGCTCTCCCGCTTGTCCCACAGCAGGTTCGGCGACAGCACGATGGCTATGTTCGAGGCGGACATCTTGTTCTCGGGGTGCTTCGTCAGCTTGCTGAGGAACTGGAACAGGAAGGACAGGTTGTCGCGGTTCTCACGCGGCAGCTTGTCGATCGTGTCTTTCACTAAGTTCAGTCTCTCGTTCTCTGGAACCTGAAATGATTAAATCAAATGATTCAACCCTACAATCCATGATTTTTGTTTTTGTTGAATAGTATATTTCATTAGGAGTCTGGAAACATCATTTTTCTACAAGCGTGCGTGATTCATCCGATACCCGCACGCAATTTAGTTTGGGAAGTGTCATCTTCCCGCAACAGTGCGGGCAAATTTTCCCTCGCTAGTGCGGAAAATTTCTTTCCGCACTAGTGCGGGAAAAACAAAGATATGATAATGTCGCGAAATATAAGTGGTTGGTGATGGAATATGAAAGTTTAAGTTTGTTTGTTGCAGTATTGAGTATGTATGTTCAGAATCATTCATCCAGTTGCACTATTTATTGTGAAAATTAAGAAATATTGAAAAATAAAAATTGATTATTATAAAAATCGTTCTATAGATTTGGATTGATCTGATGGGTAACGATTATTGTTATCATGCCAATCAAACCTCAAATAAGTTTGTAATTGTCGAAGTGACAGACATAGGCTATATTCCGAATTCAACTGACAGTACTGAATCTACTGATTTTTCATTCCGAGATCAAAAAATTCACTGAAAGTGACAGATGCTTGTGAGCAGACATACTATTCATTCCAAATATTTCGACTCAACATTCGGCTGAAATTGCTGACTATCGAAAGGTAGTGTGGCTTCAGTGAACTGTCATTATTTTAGAGGGGGAAGGAATGTAACATTAATTTCCGTTGTTAATAACATATTATTCTCAATATCAGAAAATACCTGTTAATGATATGATAAGCACTGAGAATAATATTGAGTATGAAGTAGTAGAGGTAACCAAAGAAGAAGCAGCAGTTGCTAAATAAACAACTAAATAAACCTGAAATGTCTCCTAAATTCATCATCATTACGTTTTCTATAAATCTTTCAATTCTAAATCTCGTGCATCATTCGAAATTAATGGCAAAAAAATGTCCAAATATTCTTTATCACTCGAGCATGAATCTGAATCGTCATCGTCAATAATCGTAGAAACTATGGAGGCTACAAGAATCGATTGCTCTTCCATGTTAAATATTAAATATTAAATATTTAGTCCAGATAAACGAGAAACTACCGTCTGACAAATTTCACCAGCTGATCAACTGCTACTGACTACTGATGAAACGTGTCCCGAATTACAGCACTGTATTTTTGATTTTATATTTCGGAACACAGATTTTCAGCAGATTCAGTGGATCTACTGACAGCACTGACCAGTTGAATTCGGAATATAGCCATAGCATTACTGTTATTTTCGATTCAGTGGAATTGCCACAATGTGATCAAAAACTTCCAGCTATAGGGATGCGATACAGATGCGTTATTGCCAACGAAGTCTTAAGAAAGGTATGAAAAGCTATACACGCGTTTTATTGAATGGTGCAACAATAAAGAAATGAAAATACCGAATAAAGAAGAAGTATTTTTGGCTCATTTACTAGAAGTGTCTGAAACCTAGAGACCAAACACCTTATGGGCCTGCTAGCTTCCGCAATGAACCTACATAATGCGTTAAACAGTAAGTTCACAATAGCTATTACTAATAATTAGTAGAAAGAGAATATATTCCTCTTGTTAGTTGTTCCTTTTCGCATGAATAATTAATTGAACAAATCATTCAATTTTCTACGCTTGTAGAAAAAATATTGCTCCTAACTCATGCGAAAAGTGTCTTTCCCGCACTCGACTGCTTGCCCGACCTCCGCTTCGCGTCGATCGTATCAACGGCAGTCGCGTGCGGGAAAGAATCACTTTCCGCACTTGTTAGGAAAATTACCATTCTTGACAAGTAATGAACGAAATTTTTTATCATACTTCGTTGAAAATGAAAATTTTATAATAAAATATTACATAAAAGAGACACAAAAGAGACTTGGAGCCTTTTTATTTTCACAGTTGTAGGAATGAAAAAAACTACTAGACCTGGATTTTACTGGCAATAAATTCGCGGTCGCTTGTAGCACTTGCTCTAGGATATTGTCGGGAGTTTCAGGATTTTCTTCAGAGTTCATTTTGTCGGCATAAATTTGATTAACAGAGAATAAACAATGCTGATAATACAGTATTTGGCATGTATGATTCGTTTCCATGATTATTCTCAAAGTTTTTCCGTGCGCTGTTTCCGTGCGATAGTCCGAAAAAGCCTATCTTACAATATGAATAATATAGATAAAAACAAGTCGATTTCAAAGAAGTGTTATGAAAAAAATATTTCTGAGGAGAAATTGTATTCCAGAACATGTAAAAATCATCGAAAAATTTCATTTTTATTATAATAAATGTTCTTCAAAGATATTTTATTGTTTCAAATGTGCAACATCATTCATGGTGAACATGATTGAAAAATCAACAATAATAAATATTCAATACAAAACTGTCAATTTTTGTGAACGAAACATTCGAAAATAAGAACTAAGAAGAAAAATGGAATAAAGATCCAGGTCCGTTTAAAAAAAATGATGATGGTTTCTGGAAGGCAAAACGTCGGATTTCAAATTTGAGAACGCCAACTTGTAGGAAAGAAAAAGTGGCCATAATAAAGTGTCATTCCTTTAGGTAAATTTTTTCAAATAACTTGTTAAAGACAGGCGAGTGGAATTTTTTTTACTTCTTAAATAGAATCATCACTCAAGTACCTTTCAATTGTCTCAACATGTTCCGTTATGATTTGTCGCTTTTTGCTTATAATAAATGTATGTGAATAATAATTTTATTAATTCACACTAGAGGATATTTGAATCGGTGAACGTGACAACCCCGCGCACGACTTGTGGGTGTGGTCTTGTCAGTTATCATCATTCAGCACAACGTTGCCAAGTCTCCAACATTCACATGATATTTTGTTATGGAAAATAAGAAATATTTGAACATGCTGGTTTCTCAAAAAAGTCAAGAATGAACTATAATGTCATGAGTTCCTCCTATTATGTTTTATTCAATGACAGGACTCAAACATCTTTCTGATAACTTGATTAAAATAATTGGTGACTTGACAACCTTGCTTCATGGGTGGAAACGAAAGATTATCTGACCAATAACGACACAGCATAAAAACTGACGTCACCATTTATTCGACGTATCGCCAAATGGCGGCCATGACGTTACGTTTGAAATGAGCTCTGCAATTCAACGATTGTGAACGAGGCATAGACTTATTATTTACACAGAGAGAGAGTTGCAAAAATCAACTTAGGTTCATAACAACACAGTGGAGTAATTGAATGCCAATAATTCATTATCAGTTCACTCGCCCATTATAAAAATGGTTATAGACAATTTCGGTTTTTATCGTATATCTTCGGAATTGTCCAAAGGACCCCGTACCAAACTATAGGGAAAATGGCTCTCGATGAAAATCACTGCATTTTTGGTATGTTGCAGACTTTGATATACTGAACAGATATTCTATTGAACTAACCTCAAAAAATGGACAGTTTTTCCGATATTGGCCTCCAAATGTAATTTTTTCGAAAAAAAAAAGTATCTGAAAATGGTTGAATTTTTGACATGTTGTAGATACGAATGAACTGATGGAAAAATCCAATTGACCTAACCTCCAAAAATTGACAGTTATCTCGATATTAACCTCCAAATGTAATTTTTTCAAGAAAAAAATCTGAAAATGGCTGAATTTCTGGTATGTTGTAGATAGGGATGAACTGATAAAAAAATTCAATTGACCTAACCTCGAAAAATTGACAGTTTTACTGCTACTGACCCCTAAATGGAATTCAAACAACTGTATGGAAGTTGACCTTCAGAATGTTATTCTGTACAATTTCAGGGTCAGGAGAGTAAGGAAAAAATATTGTTTCATCATCATCGACGTTTCGTCCTTCATTATGGGGCATCCTCAGAAATCTATGAGTGAACCTACTAGAAAATGAGTCAATTAAATTATGTTGCAGCTTTGGTTTTCAAACACATTTTCCTGAACATCTTCATATAGGTGAGTAGATTTTGTTAGGCATAAAATTGAGCAGAAACGTTCTCAGGCGAGCAACTGACCCTACATTTTCGTGTTGCTGCGACATGACTACTAGCAGTCTAGATAGTAATAAGTCGGTGGTCTCGTTCGCATATCGGCCATCTACACCGTTACTCACTCACCTGTATAGCCTCGATCCACTCCTTGTGCAGATGGTAGGTGAGCAACGGCTCGGGCAGCTCGCGCAAATACAGCTTCAACAAACTAGCCAACACGTGCGCGTCCCTGTACTCGGGCACGAGCACCGAGAAGCAGCCCGAGTCGATAGACGCGCGCAGTCGCTTCACCTTAACAATAATAATAATAATAACATAGTATATTTTACGAGTGCGGAAAATGAGTTATTTTACACCAGTACGCGACAAGATGATGAACCACGAGCCATGAGCGAGTGGCTCATCATATTGACACACGAGTATGAAATAACCAGTTTCCGCACGAGTTTTACACTATACTTTTCCGACGACCTACCAGATTAACAGATATTCGGAGCAGTATCCATAAATTGCTGCATTTGTTAGAGGTTTAAAGTATTTGATTGTTTCGGTTCATACGCGACTGATCGTCTTTTCAGTACCACTTTCAATAATTAGTAATTTTCAATGTTCACATTATGTTTAGCTATCATCCCTTTTTTTTTTTTTTTTTTTTTTTTTTTTTTTTTTTTTTTTTTTTTATCGATTGGAGCGCACGAAAGGGAATCCCTATAATGTTCAAAGAACATCGTGCGTTCCTAGGGAGGATAGGGACAGGAGGTAGGTATTGGAATTTTTTTTGAATTTTTGGAGATTATATGTTGTTGGGAATACTTCCACAGGCAATGAATTCCAGAGCCTAGCCGTTCTATGGATGAAGGAGTCTTGATAAAGTGCTGTTCGACATCTTTCGAGGTTGACAACGAAAGGATGTGCTGACTGGGCTTGTCTAGTTCGTCTGATTGGTATTGCTAGTGAAGGGATGATTGCAGAGATTTCCGAAGAACATTTCCCGTGGAAGTATCGATAGAAAAGTGAAAGGTCGCCGACCTTTTTACGGTGTTCCAATGATGTCAAAGAGTGAGTGAGTGTGGCGTCACCCACCAGGCGAATGGCTCTTCTCTGGATGGAATCTAAGAGCATCAGCGTATGTTTTGGTGCTGAACCCCAAATGTGGGAACAGTATTCTAGAACAGGCCGTATCTGCGCTTTGTAGATCATGAAGAGCTGTTGAGGTGTAAAGTAGCTTTTCGCACGGAACAAGAATCCGAGTTTTTGTGAAGCAGCTTTTGCGATGGATCTGACATGATTATCCCATGAAAGAGTGTTGCTGATGGAAATACCGAGCATAGATATGGTGGGCTTGGTGGGGATGGTGGAGCCAGACATTACAATATCGGGCATACTGAGTTCCGCCTTTCTAGAGAAAATGCAGGCTTGAGTTTTGGTGGCGTTGAATTCAACTAGGTTGTTCGTTCCCCAGGCTGTGATTTCCGCAAGATCTTCATTGATTGCACTGGTCAAACGTCGGCCCATTGGTATGACGAAAGGAAAATGATGAAAGGAAAAGATGGCCGCCGCCAAAGACGTGCTTATCGCTGAGCTCGACAAATTCAGAAAATCTGACCTGATAGACCTGATTGTGTACCAGAAATTACCGTCAAAAGTGAATATTAGTGGAAATGTATTAGAACTTCATAGAAAACTGGAAAGAGTGTGGAGTTATGAACAAGAAACTGAAGAAAGTGTGTGTAGTGACGCTAGTAGAAGGGCTATGTATGTACCAGCTCAAGCCAATCAGAGGCCAGCATTTGGTTGGAGGCCACGCCCACTAAAAACCAGCGCGAAATTCAAATTATTCATACGGCGTCACGTCGCCATCGTGAATAAATAAATTAAAAAAAGCTGTCACCGCTGGATGGGAATTGAACCAGGGACCTTTGCATTATGAGGCCGCGTATATACGCACTGTGGTATTCCGACCTCCGTGATATTTCAATTATTTTAATGCTATTCAAACGGGATATCCATAGCTGGCGCGCGCTTATCTTTGCAACGGATCCATCGAGGTAGAGTGAAGCGAGAGATGCATTCCAGAGATAAGAAACTTCGAGTCGAAAATAATATCCATCGCAGGCGCGCGCTTATCTTTGCAACGGATCTATCGAGGTACAGTGAAGCGAGAGATGCATTCCAGAGATAAGAAACTTCGAGTCGAAAATAATACCCATCGCAGGCGCGCGCTTATCTTTGCAACGGATCTATCGAGGTACAGTGAAGCGAGAGATGCATTCCAGAGATAAGAAACTTCGAGTTGAAAATAATATCCATCGCTGGCGCGCGCTTATCTCTACACGGGTGCAGCGACAGCAAATTTCGCAATCAACAGCATAACAGATAAGGTTGGAGGTTATCAAAACCACAAAAAACCCAACAACAAATTTCACAATCAGCAGAATAACAGGAAACGTCGAAGGTTATCGAAACCGCAAAAAACCTAACAATTTCACAATCAGCAGCATAACAGGAAACGTTGGAGGTTATCAAAACCACAAAAAACCCAACTAGTCGCATAAACAAAATACGCGATAAGAATGACGCAAGAAATTATCGATATCAGCAGTCGTTTTAGATGGGTTTTTCCAGAACACCCGTATCACTAATTAGCAAGTCACGCGGTATCTCCGCCAGCGTATAAAAGCGATGACGCCGCACAACATCATTCACACTCGAGTCTGCAATCGTGAACGTCGTCTCTTGACCAGCTCCAGCCAAATCATCACTGTTCGTGTGTGTGTGTGTGTGCATTAATAGCAATAATAGTAAGTACCTCTTTTTTATCAAAGTGCGTATTTATATTCTCAATCCTATATTATCCGACTTTTTTATTCCATTTTGAGTTTCTTAGTTTTATATTATCGGCCCCTTTCATTTTATTTCGAAAATAATACAACCTAGTGCTCATTCCGCATCAACATTTTTCATTTCAAGTTTTTTCGAGAGACAATTCAATGAAAGTGTCAATGATCAATCGCAGATTGATTTTATTTCTAGTTTTATCGAAAATAATCCATCCCAGTATCAAGCTCATCATGACTTTGTTGGACTGCTGATGTTTTTTGTCCTTTTTCTTTCCACCAGATGGATCTTACTCAGATCAACGCAGCTTCTCTGATTGCTCCAAAACAACAGAAACCAAGCGTGAAGTTGGTGGATCTCCTGCTCGATCAACCCCAACCAATCAAGACAGCGAAAGTGGTCACCACAAAATTTGGTAAATCTGTTCTGATTGAGTTGGAGGACTCTGTTGTGTTCCTGCCCAGTCGTGTAACTGAGACCTATTCCCCCCACATTGGATATTTCGGTAGCGGGAAATATTCCTTGGTCTTCAGAGGAAAGGTGCAGACTGGGAAGGCCAATCCAGCAGCTTCGTTTGAAATTCTAGAGAATTAAAGTAAGCTACATTTTTTTTATTTGGGTAAAATATCATCAATATAACAATGGAGAGCATCAATAAAACCTTGACCAAAGTTGACGAAACACTTTTATTAATCAAGAACAATTATTCTAAACCATTGGCACTTTTTGTATTGAAATCAATCCGTTCACACATACGGAAATGTATTTTAGCAATGAAAAAAAATACTTTTTCGATTGGTTTGAAGCGTAAAATTCAGACTAAGATCGGGGAACTGAAACGGATGAGATTTTTCATCAAAACTATGAATAGAGGACATGTTGGCTCCGGCCTGAAGCCCTATATTCGTTGGATTGATGTTAATTCAATCTTCGCGTCGAGAGTGCAGACCGGTCTTATTCTGAATTTGAGACATAAGGAGATTATCGACTTTTTGGAGGATTCATTTAGATTAGTGAATAAGAGAATTTCAAAAATTTTAGGGCGCTTTTCAATGCTAAAAGTCAACTTTACATTTTCCGGTGACTTCATTAAGCAGTCAAATAATGGGGAATTGGTTGACCGCAAACATTTTTGTACTCCCAATGCCATCGTGGACGCAGGAACGGACCTAGCCGATTGGTTCAAAATCAATGTGCTAGATGTGATCCTTAATAAACTTAGCGAATTTGCCGAGAAGAATAGCGGGTGGGCCTTGAGCGAAATTATTTCTCTGGAGGTTGCCATAAATAAATATGAAATGGGCAATGGCTCATCATACATCAAATTGCCAGTGCAGATTGAGAAAAAGCAGGCTTGCATTAACGTTCAAAATGATGATGAGGCATGCTTCTTTTGGAGCATAGTCAGTTGTTTGCATCCCATTGAAAAAAATTCAAATAGAGTTAAGAATTATCCTCACTATTCACAGATTTTGAACATAAAAGGATTAGACATACCAATGAAGCTGCCCCAAATAACAAAATTTGAAAAAATGAATGCTATTTCGGTGAATGTTTATGCGTTAGAGTTGACAGAAGTCAACGAACGAACATTTTACTCTGTAGTACCCACCAGACTTACTAAGCATAAATCCAATCGACACGTTAATTTGCTTTTAATTCAGGACAAATATTTCCCAAATTTGAATGACTATGAAGCTCCTCCTGACAACGATAATGCTGAAGAGAACGTCAATATAAAATATCACTATGTCTGGATTAAGGACCTTTCACGACTAGTATCAAGTCAACTCAACAAACATTGTGGAAAGAAATTCATCTGCGATCGGTGCCTCAACTATTACCATTGTCAGGAGAAGCTTGATAGTCATGCCGCTCAATGTGAGAAAATTAATAATGAGAAAATTTCATTCCCCAAGTATGATTTTGTAGAATTTAAGAACCATGTGTATAAGCAGACATGTCCTTTCATCATTTATGCTGATTTCGAATCGCAGTTGGAGAAATGTAATTCCAAAATTTCAAAAACCACTTCAAAGTATCAACATCATAAAGCATACAGTGCTGGGTACTATTTTAAATGTTCTTTCGATGACTCGCTGTCATTTTATCGTAGTCATAGGGGTGGAGATTGCATGGACTGGTTTGCCTGCGAAATGTCTAAAATTGCCAAATTTGTCGAATCCAAATTGAAAAATATCGTTCCAATGGTAGTCAAACCAGCTAGTACCAGTGGCGCAACCATCTGCCACATTTGCGAAGAGAAATTCAAGGCAAAAGACGTTATCGTACGTGACCACGACCATTTTACTGGCGCATTCAGAGGCTTCGCACACCAGGCTCCCTGTAATCTCAACTTTAGGAAACTGTTCGTTGTTCCCATTACGTTCCACAACCTCTCAGGATATGATTCACATTTTATAATCAGAGACATTTCCAAGCGGGGACGTGTG